ACATGATAAATTCGAATTTATTACTTATATTGTGACAAATATATGTGACAAACCATCAGATTGGCACAGATCACTCCTGGATTCAATCCGAATTATAGATTCAGATCGGATTCAGATCAATCTCAGATTAACCAGGATTTTTAATCCATTTTCGAATACTAATCAACAAGTATAATAAATGTTTCTTTGTTGATAAGCCCAGTGGCTCTAGAAAAACTTTCTTATATTCTGTTCTTCTTGCGTGGGTACGAAAACAAGGCCTTATTGCTTTAACAGTTACATCTTTGGGCATTGCGTCTTTGCTTCTTAAAAGAGAACGAACAGCACATTCATGGCTAAAAATTCCCATAAACACTGATGGAAATTCTACCAGTACTATTTCACATAATTTACAATTAGCATGTCTTTTACAATACACAACTCTAATTATATGGGATGAAGTACCCATAACGCATCATTATGCACTTGAAGCTGTAGATCGATCACTATGTGATATTATGAAATCTGTTAATTCCACCTTAGAAAATATTCTATTCAGTAGAAAGATAATCATTTTTGGTGGTGATTTCAGACAAATCTTGCCTGTCATTCCAAAAGGTAGTTATGAAGAAACGTATCTTTAGATCTTCTCTCTGGTCAAATATTACATTAATGCATTTAACAATTAATATGTATCTTCAATGCATCACTAATACATCTAATTTTGATACACAATCTAAATTCTTTAACTGGCTTCTCGAAGTTGGAGAAGGATGTGTACATACTCTTCCTGATACAGAAAATATTATTAATCTTCCCCCTGAAATAGTTTTATATTCCATTTCATTATTAGATCTCATAATTGCTGTTTATCTAAATTTATATACTTTTCTTCATAATCCTAAAACATTACTCAAATGAGTTATCTTAGTTCCTTAAAATAAGCATGTTATAGAAATTAATAATATTATCATGAATTCTTTTCCTGGTAACATTCACCACTGCCTTAGCACAGATACTTTAGATCCAGTATCAACAAATTCCACTCAAATAAATCTATTTCCAGTCAAGTTCCTAAATACATTATCATTATCAGAGTTTCCACCTCACGATCTAAATCTCAAAATTGGCTCACCTATTATGCTATTATGCAATATAAATTAAGTACAAGGTTTGTGCAATGCACATGCTTAATTTGCAAAGCAATTCACAATCATGTACTAGAAGCAGAAATTTTATAACGCCTACATGCTCACACTAGAGTCTTACTTCCCTGTATAACATCCTCTCCAAACAAATTTGTTTATTCTACTTTTTTCTTTCAATGAAAATAATAATACATATTGTACTAAAAACATAGTATATCCTGAAGTACTTAATCCAAATATACAGAATTATATCCATTAAATAGAAATAAAAATTTTGTCTTTATTTTTTATAAATTATCATTTATTACTATTTAACAATTAACCAAAATAAACTATTTTAATTAAATTTAAATCATTCTAACTAACATTATTATTAAAATTCTAAAAATAATGTATCTTACCAAAATATCACAATTTATACAACTTAGCCTACCAAAGCCATTTAATATATGATATATTATAACGTATTGTCCTCTAAACTTCTGAACTTTTTTAAAAATTTCATGTTATATCTTCAATTCAACACATCACTCTACAAATTATTCAATATACAATTTTAGTAATTTATTTTATATATATTATTAGACTGATCAATAACTTACTATAAAAGCTTCACCCTTTTCTTCATATAAAGAATTTTAAATAATTAGCTGTTTAAATTACTTTACTTTTGTATTCTTTATACCTTTAAAATACTTTGTACAAAATAAACTTACAAACATAAATAAAAAAAGGTATACAAAAAACTTAATTAAAATACTCAAAATCTATTTTATTTAGAAAAATTAACATAATAGTAATCTATTATTCAAAAATTACTATTATGATAACTTCTCTAAAATATAAAGGAATCTTAATAATTTTTAACTCCGTCAATCTATAACATTGATAAATCTTTCTATATACTTTTTTAATTTATTCTTTATAAGTTTATTTATTTATTTTTTTTTTTTGTAGTTAAGTTTAGCCTCTTTGGCTTTCCGCTTTTATTAGAATTTATAGAATCATGTAGTGTCCTTTTCAAAGGGACCCCAGATAAGTACATTCTGACAAAGATACTACTAGCTATATCTGCACCTTTTGAGCACCTAATTAAGTATCTACCTATTACTAGGTTCTACACTAGATGCTATATCTATAATTTACTATTACTTGAGTTACCCAATTAAACCCTCTGATCTGAGTTTCTCTGCAAATCCATCTAATCTCACCTGGAACATGCGATACATAAGTCATTCCAAGTTTCAAGATTATTGCGTGCCATCTATAGGACTACCAGCATAGTTAACCAATTCATCCTCGAGTGCATCACCTGCTAGAGCAGTCCGGTCCCACTATACCATATTACCTAATCTACTTCAGTAACTTACACCTAGGCTGAGACCAAGTACTTGCAAGCTGAAGCCACTACCGTTACTTACTACACCCTTATAGAGTTCACCCAGACCCCAGCACCCACTATACAGACTATCTACCATATACTCATCACCCCAAACTTCCAATTTAGATGGTCCAGAAGGGCTGTGACCTGCTTCTGGTCACCATGGTTGGGTCTTTTTCCTCTGGTTACTTTCTGGCAGCCTGATTAGTAGAGTGCCTTGCTAGACACTTCTGTCCCATTCAGTTCTCTGATTTCAAGTTGATAATTCTTTACGTAATACTGTCAAAGATCTGTGCTACCTTTCTACTTAGGTCTTGCCAAGCGAGCTTCTATATGTACTATCTCTGGGTTTACACAGCCGCTTTACTTAGGTTTTGTGTAACTCGTACATTACATTATTGTTCTACAACCTCTTAGTACGAGCTGGTATGACCAGATTACAGATGTTAATTTGTCCATTTATATATAATCTGCCATGACACTGTACTGAAAATTCGAATTTTTGTCACTGATGGGATTTGAACTCTGTTCCTGCCGCTTGGGGGTGCAACAACTTCACCACTTCACTAATTCACCACACACCTAAGTTTATTTATTTAAAAATTACTCTAAACTGTATAAATAATATAAAATAAATTAATCTAAACATCAAATCATATAATTTTCTATAACCTTTTTCGACTAAATTTTAATAATCCAATTGAAATATCATTTTACATATGATTACAACACAAATAATAGCATACATCAAACAATATCCAATTAGCAAATTAACCTGTGACAATTTAAAAAACCCACTTTACTCAATTAATATAAAAACATTATTTAAAGTTCTATTTTTACACTTTCAATATAACAAAAAAATCTATTTAAATTATATCTTGCATCATACAATAATATAACAAAAACATTGTCACTATTAAATACCTCTTTTCACTAACTTATTTATTCGCTATTATTAAAATCCACTTTTAAGTAATTCGATTTTCTGATATTATAAACCTTACTTCTCTTATAACCATGCCCCGCATTTTTTTTATTTTTATTTTTTTTATTTTTATTTTTTTTATTTTTATTTTTTTTATTTTTATTTTTTTTATTTTTATTTTTTTTATTTTTAACCTCAACTTCATGATCTTTCTCAATCTCGACATCCTTTTCCAACCCCTCATCATTACTATTATCATTATTACTATTTTCATCCATAACCACATTCTTATCGATTGCTTTAATTTCTTCAAACTTAACGCACTATAAATCAAATTTCTTAATAAGAATTTTTATATATAAATGTGCTAAAAAAAACCCTGAACATTTAAATATAATTCATATTTAAATTTTTGAAATTTTTTTTAATATACTCATATACTAAAATACTATACTAAAATTTATATACCTTACCTTAAATGTTTCTTCTGAATCCATTCCTTTAACAATATTTTTATGAACAGATAGAAGCTTAGAACGAGCTAAATTTGACAATACCAATAAACCCTGTTCGTTATTAATATCATGTTCTCTTTTCTTATTATTAAATTGAGTATCAACCCAATTAACATCCTGACCAAAAACATATAAAACATTTTCTATAATCTCTATCTGACCAACAACAAAAACTATCAATTATTTTGGACAAATAAGACTTGCTAATCCTCTAAAACGTGAATCTGAATATCAAAAAACTACAGTAACTATAAAATTATAATCACAATGAGAAAAATCTGCTACCAAAACTTTAATAACAGCATCTTCCCAGTCTTTAAATTGAGGAACTTTCTCAACAATCCCAACTAAAGAAACTTTTAAAGGACATTTATTCGCCACCGGAACATTGCTAAAAATCTTAAGATAAGTCGACGTTGAAACCGTCATCTACATTAAAAATAATCAAGAATATAATTAAATAAAAATATAAAAATCTCTAATTCTCAAATATATTACTTCACAAACAACAATATAAATAATCCATGCCTATTCTCTGAAGTAAATATTTGAAAATTAATATACTTTATCTTACTCCTAACAAAGCTCTTATTAATTACCCTTGGCCTGATATTATTATTATAACACTCAGGTACAATTTTGCCTCCGACAGAAAAATAATCATCTCTTTCAAAAATTGCTTGAGTTATTAAATCTCTTTCCTCCATTTTAATCAGACAAACAAGACTAACTCAATCTCACAATCTTCTATTCCAACTGGATAGGCACCAATAGCCCATACCACTAAAAACTTCTCCTTTACAGATTCCTTTACAACCTTCACTCTTACAATAATATCCGAATTACAAGGCATAATTACTATTACTATTACTATAATGTTTATTACAGTATTTATAATTTGTTATTACTTATGATTTATAAATTTATGAATTTATGAATTTATGAATAATGTTATATTTATTTAACAATATTCATTATATAAATCTTTACTACTTACTTATTACTACTTACTTTACATAAATCCCGTATATATATATTTTTTTACCCAAAAAAACCCAACTCAAATAAATCTCCACGTATAAATCATACCCTCAAATACTTATATAACTACAATATAATAAAAATTTACATGTATTCTAATACTATCTAACCACGATACAAGCTTTTCACATTCATACGTATATACCAATACGTATATACTTACATACGTACATACATGTGTACATAACTGGTACGTACGTACATACATACGAACATACATACATATGTAGATGCCACAAACAAATAATCGCCCTACTTTACTTTACCAAGCCACACCAATATACATTCATACAATTCTGTAAACAGATTTCTAATAAATTATGTTACACGAATAACTTATTTACAAACAATATCACAACGAATGATATCTTTTAATTCACAAAATTCTACATCTACTATTATACGTAATAAATTATTGACTAACTTTAAACCTACAATAAATAATACCATATTTCTCTTAAAAGCTAAATTGAGTACAGTATAGTATTAAATACTTACTCTTTAATCTCTACCCTAACTTAAACGAGATGGTTGGCGCGTAAGCGCCACCTATCGTGCTAGTAACTGATTAAAATATTTACATCCTGATAAAATTAATAATTGCCGCAATATTGCTACCAAAATGGAATTGGTGGGGAAAAGAAATAAATAATAAATAAAATACTACTAATAAAATAAAATATGATAATAAAAGTAAAACTAAATAATGCTACATGGGGTTAAATTAAATTTCAATCATTACAGTAGGTTATATCGTCGTTTCTATTAAACTATATTCGTAATAGTCAACACGGGTTACGTTCGGGTTACTTAGAGGTCCAAGTTGGTTATAGTTATGTTCTTTAGG